TTACATACTTCCCAGTGTACATGAAATGGTTAGAGGACGTATCATGGGAAGCACAGTCAGCTACTTTACCTTGAGCCGTTTGTTCAGTCCACCTCTTGAAATGGCAGGATCGAACCAGGGCGTGCAGGTCTCTGCAAACTCGGTACTTCTGACCAGAAGTCCACTCATATGTTTCGGTACCGAGTGTTCCCGTGGCAGAGGTACAAGCTCCAGAGAAGAAGATGGTGACCGCTAAGGATTTGTTAAGGAACCTAAGTTGCTTACGCGGTCCATGCAAACATTCTTAACTGATACTGCGGGGTTATGTTCCTCCTCAGTGGAGTTCAGGAAGGAGGAGATGTGATCTTGGGTAAGGTCTCGTACGGGTATGCGCAGGTATCCGGATACGTGACCTCTCAGTTCCTGTGCAGCGACCGACGCAACCTTTGGGGAGCTAGACCAAAGTAGTCGAAGCGCTAAGCTCACCCTCAGGATTGCGTGGTCTGTACGAGCCATCGGGAGACCTACGCCACCCCTCTTCGCGTCCCCATGGAGCCAGTGAATGGAAGCTTGGGCCGGAACATGCAGACATTGCCGCACTAGCTCCCTAATGGAGCCGTCATATTTTCCCAGGGTATCCTTAATGTTATCCCAGTGCATGTTCTTGAGCGCATACGTTAATTGGAGTGGGTAAATGTGTTATAAGCGCTCAGTTTCTGCCAGTCAACAAGTTTGCTGTGGAAGATGTGTTGTGCGTGTATTAAGGTGTTTTCCAGCAGCGGGATGTCTACACTGATGCTATGTACCCTTAATTTTGCACCAAGGTAGGGAGCAGCCTCAAATTTAGCAAGGGTAAGGATATGGGTATGATTAGTTGCGACAGTGCAACGGGCATTGTCAAGGTCTTTTTTAAATTTAGTTTTGAAAAGGGCTTTGCACTTAAGAGGGTTGAAAGTTAGGCAGAGGCTGTTCGCTGCCGTGTCGATTTGGTTGATAATTCCCTGTACGCTGCTGATATCTTTGCCGAAGCAAGTAATATCATCAGTGCATGCAAGGAGACCTATTTTCTCACCTGCAATCTCATATCCCAGGGAATGTTCCAGGCGACTAGCGGATCTAAGGACTGGTTCCAGGGCAATGTCGAAAAGAAGGGGGGACAGTGGGTCACCTTGTCTAACAGCTGCCAGCACGGGTATCTCCCCTGTGATGCCAGAACCGGTGCGTATTATAATCCTATTACCGGTGTACATG